AACAGAGGAGTTAGAACAGTGCAGGATCGCCGGAAAATCTAGGACGACGGTGTAGAGATTTTAATTCAAAATCTCACAGGCAAGTTCTATTCCTAACTCTATCCCTTTGACTCGTGTTCTTTACATGCCTAACACAATTCTAGGATTTTATAACAGTTAAATTAAAACTGGTTTGCATGTTTTATACGATTAAAACAGTAGGTGTTCGAGATGTGGTATTTGTTTGATTTTAAATTTTCCTTGCATAATTTTTGTTATATTGATGTCGATTAACAAATAATGAATTTAAATATTTTCTGGAACACACTAGACCTAGTTTTAGACACCTAGGAACCTTAGGAGTGGAAGACAGATGATCAGAAAGTCAGAAATTAGCCGGCGTCAGAGAATACAGAGGCTGGGAAGAGTATAAGCGGCTCCATGTGGGTGGAGGCGGCTCCACATTTTTTTAGAGCCTGCTCTACATTTTTTGGAGCCTGCTCTACATATTATTGGAGCCTGCTCTACATTTTCCTGGAGCCTGCTCCTTTGTGGATTTTCATTTTTTTTTTTTAGTTTCAGCGATGGTTTTTGCTTCGGTACTTGGATTTTGGAGTTTTAATTTAATTAGAAGCTATACTGGAGGTTTTCAGAGGTGTCCTAAGCTTATTTAAAACTCCCAAGGGTCTTGTTAATGCATAGTAAACCACCTTGTATTATAGCTTGAACAGTATAAAATTCTTACACAAATTGATATATTGTTTTTGGATGCGGAGGATTTAAATTGTTCAGCATTATCTTAGCAATTTTTCGAGAATGGTTTTATAGTTAAATCAAGTTCCAGTGTTATAAAATAAGCATTTGAATTTATATATTCTATTATGCTTATTTGGAATTAATTGATGTTTGTTGTATGATCTGCATTATCAATTATTGGACTATGCGGAGTAGTATCAAATAAGCCTGTTAAATTACAAAGTTTTATCATGCTTAGTATGTACAATTGATATTTTTATTTAATATTTTAATTATCAATTGTTAGATGTATGGATTAGTTGATATTTACTGTCATTATCTATATTATCAACTACTGGATGTATGGATTGTATGCACCGGTATGGGACAGTGGCATACTAGGGACGGATTAGTTTCAAAATACTAAATCCTACCTATACGGAATAAGGGAATGGATTATAAAATAAAACCTACTTATATTTAAGTCAAAGAAGCTGCACAAGCTGAATGACTAATTGGATTACTTGTTATTTATGTTAAGTCAAAGAAGCTGCACAAGCTGAATGACTAACTGGATTTCTTTGGATGGATAGGATAGGACTTTAAATATATATTTATGGTACCGCGAGATAAGCTTGAATCTCAGAGTCGACGGTTAGGGACCGTATATGCAATAGGATGCGTAGCTGGCTATGTTGGTTGAGGTATACCCTGTTAGGCTTAGGTACTCATGCTCACTCAGGTGCGTTTTGCATGTTGCCTTCTATTCAGGTTGAGACCCTCTTCATAATCCAGTAAGAGTTCTGTAGTATGGATATATATATATATATTTACGGACTACATAGTTATTGTTGAGTTGTTTAGGATGTACATGCGTATCGAGTCTCTGTTTGGATTGCAGTAGGATAGAACATGTTCGTGGGCCTGACCCACTTCTATTTTTCAGGTATTCGACAGTTCTAGTCTTAGGTTTGATCGTGCTGAGCAAAGACTATCACTCACTCTTTCGACAACATAGGACCTCTCTCCGTGGTTTAACTTTGATGTTCTTCCAGTTATTTACATTTCAGTTTGGATTTTTATTAGGGGTCCACTAGAGATAGATTCCCGAGTTGTTTAACTGTTGGAGGTTTTGGGATTATTGGATTTTAAGTATTTAATTTTAAAGGATTATATTTTAGAATTCTTTCAGCTTTATTTATTTCTTAATTCATTTCGTAATCTGTGTTCATTTAAATATTAATTGTTTGATATTCCTTCGGGTTTGGGCTTGGGCCTGATCAACCCATGTCTCGGAGTCGAGGGGTATCACATAAAGTCTATTTGATGAAGAAGTTATTTAATCTGAAGATGACTGAAGATGCTAATGCGGCTAAACACCTCAACAATGTTAACACCATCACAAATCAATTGGAATCGGTTGGTATTACGTTCGACGATGAGTTGAGGGCACTACTACTGCTATCTAGTTTTTCGGACAGGTGGGATGGCTTGGTCGTGGCAGTGAGCAATTCCTTTACATCTTCAAAGTTAAAAATTAGAAGATGTTGTTAGATTTATTTTGGGAGAAGAAGTTCACGAGAATATTCGTTATCTGGTTCTGTGTTAAGTACCGATGAAAGGGGCCAAAAAAATAACAAAGGAAATAACAAGAATCGCTGCAAATCAACGTCACAGAAGAAGCATTGCAGGTTGAAACCAGGGAAAAGTGGGAGTGTGTTATGGATGAGGAGATGGAATTACTCCCTCCAAACAAGACATAGGAGTTAGTTCTACTCCTTGAAGAAAAATCAGCATTGCATAAAAAATTACATACTCAAGGAAGAACTTGATGGAAGCAAACGTTATAAGGCAAGGTTAGTAGTGAGGGATTTCAACAGATGGCATATGTGGGTGCAAAAATTCGTTAACTTTGAAAAGTCAATGCATAAAATCAACACACTCAATGAAAGCAATCAAAGCAATACAAAACAAAGATTGTGGTTTCAATGTGCTTTTTATTGGAGGTATATGCCTCTATTTATATAACTTTAATGGTAAAATTAGGGTTGGACTCAAGTTGCTTGCCCCCCATGAATAGTTCACAATTAGTGGTTTCCTTCTTTAATTCTTCTATACAAGACTCCTTCCATATCTGCAGCAATTCGTGTGATTGATGAATTCAAATAAACGAATCTCCCTTATGGCAATCTATAGGTTGGGCCGAAGACATAGTATTGGCTTATCTTGTTATCTGGATCGAAAGATGGAAGGCACATCATCGGACCTACTGAGTTGGGCTTTCAGATTTGGGTGGCCTAATAAATATGGTAAAATTACATATGGTGACATGGTTATTGTCATTGGTTTGGAATATTTTTCCCCCCACAGCAGACATCGACTACACAGAAATTTTTTCTCCCACTCTAAAGATTTCTGTCATCAATTATGTCATTAATATTGGGACTTGCATTTGTTGCAGTTAAATGTCAATACTGTTTTTCTCCATAGTGACTTGGAGGAGGATATTTATATGTACCAGCCACAGGGGTATGTTGTGATAGGAAAGGAGAATTTGGTTTGTAAACTTAAGAAGAACTTGTATGTGTTGAAACAAACTCCAAGACGGTGCTATAAGAAATTTGACAACTTTATGTCAAATGTTGGTTTTTATAAGTGTCATGTTGATCACTATTGTAATTTTAAGAAAACCAATACATCTTATCTCATACTTCTCTTGTATATAAATGATATGTTTACTGCAGGTTCAAACATGGATGAGATTTCGAATCTCAAGGCACAACTATCCAAGGAATTTGCAATGAAAGATTTGGGTGCTGCAAAACGAATCCTTATAATGAAAGATTTGGCTACGTAGCGTATTACGTGATATAACTATGGCGACCTTATGAGCGGCTGTGTGTGAGCGTGTGTAGATGGCACCAGTAGGCTACCACACAGGGCGAGTTACAGGTGCGCATTCCCACATCGCCTGGGTGTGGATGGGGCAAGTGCTATGTGTACATTCAACACCCTTCTGTGACACAACGTGTTTTAAAGTCGTGATGGCCGTTAACCCACTTGAACTTCAGAGTTAAGCATGTTTAACCTGGAATAGTACCAGGATGGATGACCCCTTGGGAAGTCTCTGGTCCGAGGGCGCCAAAATCGGATAATATTGTGTATAGCCAGGGTGAGGGTCTTTATAAATGGTATCAGAGTTTGACCTAGCCGGAAGTGTAGCCAACGAGGACGTTGGGCCCCAAGGGGGTGATTATGGTGACCTTATGGGCGGGTGTGTGTGAGCGTGTATAGGTGCACCAATAGGCTACCACATTGGGCGAGGTACAGATGCACAATCCCACATCGCCTAGGTGTGGATGGAGCAAGTGTTATATGTATATTCAACACCCTTCTATGATACAATGCGTTTTAAAGCCTTGATAGCCGTGAACCTACCAAAACTTCGGAGTTAAGTGTGCCTAACCTGGAATAGTACAAGGATAGGTGACCCCCTAGGAAGTCTCTGATCCAAGAGAGTTAAAAGTGGACAATATTATGTATAGCTAGGGTGAGGGTGGTTACAGTAACCCTATTACATCGAATATATTATTTTCTTTGTTGGATATACAGCCGTATAAAAATATATATGTTGTGATTTCTGTTTTTTGTTGTTTTGTTTCCCAAAGTGATTTAATTATGCAAATCGCTGGTTATCTAAGTTATGCATGTGATCGATTTATTCTTTTGATTGTTTCCCAACAACTACTTCCCCAACACTTCCAAACATTTCTAATACTAGCCTACCTGGTAATCTTAAAAATAATATGAAAACATTTTAAAGTGTTTAACTTTTTCTAAAAAATTTGACATTATACACATATGAATACAAGCAAAACACATTAAATAATATTTGTTTATTTAAAATAAAAACACTATTATGACAAACTAGTGTAATAAATTTATATATAATATAAAAGTCATTACAAGTCTTAATATAAAATAAAAAATGAATTAAAGTTTTATAATACTATTACTCAATACATGTATATAAATAAAATTTTATATTTATATGTAGCCGTGTCTAAGTCATACATGTGTCCTACTTTTTTAAAATTTGGCATATCGTATTACATACGTATGTATTTTTTTTTTTTTTTTTGGAAGTTAAAGCAATTACGAACACACCGTACCTCCATCGAGGTTCAAACCCCCGATCTCTCATATGGGGAGGAAAGGGTAATACCGCTGGATCAATTAGTCATTTGGTAAAATATATAAAAGTTGTTATACATTTTTATACATACCTTATTCCAAGTTCAATCCCTCCGGGTCACTATATGTGAACAAGGGCGTATCTAAGGAGGTGGGTTGGGTGGGCTTGAGCCCATCCCAAAACAAAAACAAAAAACTATAATCAATTTTAGTTCAGCTAAAAAAAAAAAAATTATTATTAGTATTAGTTCACCCAAAAAATATTAGCTCACCTCATTAACAATTTCTGAATCCGTCCTTGTACGTGAAGAATATTGAAAAACTTGGATTTAATGATAATTTATCGGTTAGTATACATAACTTGAATCATCAAATGAATCAATACTTTAAAAGAATTGGAAATACAGGTCATGCTTAACGATCCGTTAGTATGCATAACTTGAATCATCAAATGAATTAATATTTTAAAAGAGTTGGAAATATAGGTCATGCTTAACGAGAACATTAAATTGATTAGCTAATTGTAGTTGCAGTGCATCCTTATAATGAAAGGGAAATTAAAAAGTGCATGTTAATGTACAAGTTATATAATATCTATGTTTTTCAAGTTACTTTCAATACAATAATTGACACTAATGCCACGTTTGGTGTTCAGGAAGGGAATGGAATGGAATGCCCATTTCAACCATTCCTTTATTTGGTATGCAACTTAAAGTGGGAAGGGTCATTCCATTGGAATGAAAATCCATTCCACAACTAAACCTATGGAATGGCCATTCCATTCCCAAGTAATTTATTTTAAAAAATTGATTTCCCAAAACACCCTCATATTCGAAGTTAAAAAACCACCATTACCTTCCACTACAATCATCTCCGCCTTCCACCACCACCACCACTACCACTGCCTTCCACCACCACTGACTTTTACCATCGCCCACCACTTTCCACCGCCACCGCCACCGCCTTTCACCACCGCTACCGCCACCACCATTGCCATTGCCTTTCACCACCGCTACCGCCACCACGGCCATCGCCATCACCTTTCACCAATGCCACCACCTTCCACCACCACCACTACTACCGCCTTTCAGTACCACCACCGTCGCCGCCGCCGCCACCACCACCACCTCCCACCGCCGCCTTTCACCACCACCACCGCCTTTCACCACCACCACCTCCCACCACCGCCTTTCAGTACCACCACCACCTCCCACCACCGCTTTTCACCACCACCGCCTTTCACCACCGCCTTTCAGTACCACCACCACCTCCTACCACCGTCTTTCAGTACCACCACCACCTCCCACCACCGCCTTTCACCACCGTGACCGCTACCACCGCCACCGCCACCACCATCACCTTTCACCACTGCCACCACCTTCCACCACCGCCACTACTACCGCCTTTCATCCCCACCATCGCCTTCTACCACCTTCCATCACCACCACCTTCCACCACCGCCACCGTCACCACCGCCACTTTTCACCACCACCACTGCCACCGCAACCGCTACCACTACCGCCGCCGCCTTCCACCACTACCACCATCGTCACCACCTTCCACCACCGCCACTTCCATTGCCTTCCACCACCACCATAGTCACACCACTATCTCCTTCCACCACAACCACCACACTACTACCACCGTTTTCCACCAACACCACTGCCACCTTCTACCACCGTCGCCTTCCAACACCACCACCTACACTCCTATCGCTTTCCACCATCCACTACCGCCACTGCCACCATTTATTTTTAAAAAATTATTAAAGAATATCATTTTGTTAATTTAATTTAATTTAATTTATTTGTTATTAAAAAGGATATTTTAGAGAATTCAATTAGAAATTTATTCTATTCTAAATTTTAAATTGGTCAAACCAAACAATAGAATGGTTATTATCATTCAATTCTTACACATTTCATATTTACAACCAAACAATAGAATGAGAATGACCATTTTATTTTATTCCCATTCTCATTCCATTCCCACTTATATTTCATTTCATTCCTGCACACTAAACCTAGCATAACACGATTCTATTGTCTATACTTTTCAATACAATTAGAATCCCATTCAAAAAAGAAAAAGAGAAGTGCTTTTCTAGTCAATACTTTTTCATTTAAGACGTGAACACTTTATTGGGCGGAGAACAATAATGCACGACAACAAGGCCCACTCAAATTTCATGTATTTATATATAACCTAATTTTTTTTCTAAAATTATATTAGTGCACCATTATATCTTGCTAAAAGCCCTTTTATATATATACATATATATATATATATATGGACTAGATTAGTAGGTTCACCCTTTATCATCTCGGTCTATTAAACATATCAAATCTACAAGTTCACAATTTCTATCTATTTTTCTAAATTAAAAAATTTAAGAGTGCATATATAAGTCTGTTAAAATTCCTTCACTAATATGTTACCTTCACAATAATTAGCACAATTACACAAGATATATATCCTTATATTTTTCAACAATTAGAGACGGATGACACAGTCAAGCCGTCAACTGGAATGAAATTACAATTGTACCCTTATTTTCTTGATATTGTCTTAATTGTTAAATCAATCAAATCTCTTGTAACCCAATGAAGCTTTCTCAAAAAGTATTGCCGAGGGTTGTAATATCTTATCAAACCTGAAAAATTGAGTACGAGTTGGACAAAATGATGATTTTTTTGTGAAAATAATAATAATAAATAAATAAACAAGTCCTCATCAGAGTTATGAGGAGTAAAATTTGTCAGTCTTAAAAAATCAAATTTTCTTTAGTTACCATTCTCGAAACTTTTGCCGGATTCTGTAAACGTAAATTGTTGTCCAATAATATAAAAATTTTTGTATTCTTTGTGTGATGTGTTTACTTTTCTGTGTGATTCTTGATTCAACTTGAATTCTTTGTGTTTGTCTGTATGCCAATCTAAGCTTAAGAAATGAGTGCAAAAGAGAGATTGGTAATCTCAGGTTCAGCAGATCCTTTACTTTAGAGCAAGTTCATTCTAAAGTCATGCCCAAGGGTGAAGATCCTCTCTCACTTAGCTCTAGAATTTAATGCTAATAATTACTCTCTCTCTCTCTCTCTCTCTCTCTCAACCCAGTCTTTCGTATAAGGTTTTGATTATAATCTTTATCAGGGATAACAATTAAGCCAAGCATAAATATGTGTCTACCATGCATGTATTATTTCTAAAAGACACATCATTTCAAATTGAAATATATATAAGTTATTATCTTTATACATACCTTATTTCAAGTTCAATCACTTGACTGACACTATAAGCCGAATAGAATATTTGAGAGCCTGAATTAATGGGGGAAAATATATATATTATCTGTCAATATATATAACTTGAATCAATCAAATAAATCAAAATTTTAAAGAATTGGGAATACAGACCATGCTTAATGAGGACATTAAATTGCTTACCTACTTCTTGTTGTAGTGTATCCTTGTAGAGTTCTTCCAATGAATTGAAGCAGAACTCTAATTTATACAGTCAAGCAGATGAGATAATATCTCAGCTTGCATAGATTGAAAGAGTGACGAGGAGGGAATGATACAGACGATCGAATAAAGAAGAATGCATATAACTTGTGTAGAAGATGTTTTTCATATTAAATTGTGTGGATGTATGATTGTTTTGCCACTACATACCATTACAAAAAGAATCCCTTTCAAAAACATGATATGCTCTGCCCCTTTACCACTCATCCACTACATTTCATAAGGATGCGGTTGTAGTGAGCTCAACTCCTTTGTTGGCTTTGTGTTGTGGGTTCGGCTAAATTGTACAATTTATCAATTATACAAGTACTTTACCTGCTGAAAAGAAAAGAAAAAGAAAAAGAGATGTTTTTGTGTGTCAATGCTTTTTCATTTACGACAATAATCCTTTCTTTTGCGGAGACCAACGATGCACGACATCACGACCCACTCAAATTTCGATCATATATAAAGGAGTCTGGGGAAGATAACAATAAATAATGCTAGAAAACATGGCCAACTCAAAATTTCGGTATACCTTTTTACGGGATACCATTTTTAAGTTTTTGATCAAATACTATTTTAAAATTTCTTTTAAAAAATAATATCACTCACATTCTAATTTATTTTTTTTGTTACTAATACTGTTAAAACATATATGGAATAACATTTTTACCCTAATTTTTTAATACCTTTTATTTTAAAACCAAGAGAACGAAATTACCCCCTCACTCTCACCCTCACCCTCACCCTCACCCTCACCCTCACTCACATATTATTTCTTCTTAAGTATAAAAATCATCATATTATATATTGCCTCTGTCCTGTAATAATATTATATTATTCTTTTTTAGGTGTTCAAATTAGTTATGCCATTTGAAGTCAAAATAAAAAATATATTATTTTTTTATAATTACCGTTTAAGTTTTCAAAAAAAGTTCAATTTGGCAACATTCACATTTAAATTTAAAGCCACAATGATATATGTGATAACTCGAATTTTTTAAAATTTTAATTTATAATTTTATAATTTTTATTTTTATTTTTATTTTAAGTTCGTTTCCGTGGGTGTAATTGTAGTTTCTTTATATAGTTTATATATATTTATTTTGTGTCTAAAGGTAGAGGTGAGTGTGAGAGGAAAATGAGAATGATGACGTTTTAGTGGGGTCCACTGAAAAGGTGATTTAATGGGTTGATTGATTTTGTTACTTATTATATACTCCTATATATATTGTTATGTCTGTTGAAGAAAGAAGCAATGGAGCTGCAGCGGAGATCAGAAAAGATAAGAAGGAAATGGTAAGGAATGTTTTGGCGGGTCCCATGGGTTTGATTGGTGTGTTACATGATATATATATATATATATATATATATATATATGCTGAAGAGATAGAAAAAAAAAGACAGCGAAATGATGATGAAAAGAAAAAAAAAAAGGGAAAAGTTGGTGTGATGTAGGCGGGACCCACTTGGATTTTTGGTGCCAAAAAGTTCTTTGAATTTGAATTTGGTTCGTGGGTTCTTATGGGGTGTATAAAAATTGAAAAGATAATGTAAGAAAGGAAAGCAGTGAACTTCACGTGGGTTTATCGGTGGATTTGTCTTTAAATCCAGCATCAATTTTGTGACTTTGGAAAAATGAAACAGAGGAAAAAATTAGAGAGAGATACAGAGTGAGCCAAGAGAAGACATAGAGAGTTTGAGGAATACAGGGAGAGACGAAAGTTGCAAGAGGAGCTGAGAGTTTGCAGAGGAGGCAGAGGCTTGGTGACTTGATGGTCCAGTGAGAAAATTCTTTTTCAGTGTAGGGTTCTTTATATCTTGAAATCGCATGGAGTGGGTGTTGGGAAACGTACAAGTTATAAAAACTTTTTGATGAATTTTTATGTATAGATATTGATTCATCACATAAAGACAAGTTTTATACAAAAATAAAATATAATATATCATTCAATTAATAGATTGAAAACTTAGATCAAGGTTTGAGTAAACCTTAAATCTCTCATCTAAAGTGAATGTTCTCACTTATTGTAGATCCCTTTGCTAAATGTCTTCTCCTTGGATCTCCATCTTATTGGTAATGGTTTTGCCTTTAGAAATCACCCATAAGCCTCCATGAATAACTTTGAAAAATTAGACTTGTGGGAGCCTCCATTAGATGAGAACATGAACCCTAGAATTCTAGAGAGAAAAAATAGTTTCTTCCTTTTTCTTCCAAAAGTCTCCATTTAAAATATACATGGATCATGTATATATAAGCAACATAAAGATAAGGAAATGAAACAATAAATTCTTCTCAATCTCTAATTACCATATCTCAAATCTAATATGATTCCAATATTAAGTTGGGCTATGAGTGAGAATCCTTTGGACTTATTATTTTATTGGTTACAATGAATTAATAATTGGCCC